CATCGCGGGTTCCCAGGCCCCCCCTGCAGGGGTTCTGATTCAATAAACCAGGGGTAGCCTCATCTTTCGCGCATGTTTCTTCAAGCTTCAGCCTACCCGCCCCGCCTAACCGATGGCCCCGCTGCTCCCTGCCCGTCTGACCCAGAACCCTCGAGCCCCTGGACTTCCTCCCTGGGCAGCCCACGAGCACGCAGGACCCTCAGAGAAATGGCAGTCTCGGGTCTCCCCCGCTGCCTGTGACCACCTGCTCCATGGCTGGCCGTCTGTGTCGTCGGCAGGACTGAAGAAATGAGAGGCCTCGAGCGGCCCCGTGATTCTGGACACTGCGGACACTGCATGGGGCCCCGTGAGCGCACCTCAAACCCCGTCCTCAGGGTCATACAGCCCAGCGCGCGGGCGGCACTGCTGGGTCCTCGGCCGCCAGGGTCTGACTTCCCGGGAAGCACACACTAGAACTCTGCCCTCTGTGCCCCCTGCCCCTGGCCCCGGTCCCCAGCCCCTCACACCAGGCCAGGGCGGTGGGAGGATGGCGGGGGGCCTGGCACCCCAAAGGCACCCCGCCCCCCTCCTGTGCCCTTGCCCTGCTCCCCGGCAATGAGTCAACTGGACTTGGAGGCCAAAACCCTTGAGGCTGGAAGGGCTCGGGGACCCTCGGGTGCGGGATAAGACGGTGAAAGACAAAGTCTGCGGGGACCTGGGGTGTCGGGGAGCCTCTACAGCAGGTGTCCCCTCCTTCTCTCAGCAGGTGCTTGGGTAAACCTGCGGTCTGCGTCCAGGTCGCAGCCCCGCCTCCCTGCACCTGCTCTCAGGTGAGACGCAGCTGGAGCAGCTGGGCAGCTGGAAACCTGAGCCTTGGGCTCCGGAGGTGGGGGTGGGGCGGTGGGGGGAGGGGGCGGGCCCTCCTCCCCCCGGCCCAGCTGTGCCCGAGAAAAGAGGCATTTGCTGCTCTGCTGATCTGTCTGAAGGACACAGCGCCCAAAGATGGCTTTCTCCCAAGTCATTAAAGGACAAAGGCAAACAAAAACACCAGTGGCCTTGCTGGCCCGGGGCCACGCCGCGGTCAGGAATTAGGCATTTTCTGCAGCTGCAACTGTTGGGAAACAATGCACAGCGGTCGTTGTCCCCAGGCCGTGGACTAGTTCCCCACCACCGCTGTTTCTGGGGGAAAGAGCACCCAGTCTTCCCAGGGAAGCTCGTTTCGTAAGGACTCAACCCTCCCCGCGCCCCGTTTTCACAGCGGTTCAAGGGGACCCGCGCAGAGCGTCACATTCATAATCCTGATTAATCCTCATAAAGGCCTGATGTGATCAATCCTGCTGCCCTCCTGCCTCTTTTAGTGAGGCTCGGTGACCCCCACGGTTGCTCCCAGGAGTCGGGGGCCGGGGGAGAGAAACACGGCAGGTGTAACAGGCTTCCACAAGCTTGGTGGCTTAAAACCACATGAATTTGTTACCTTGCACTTCTGGAGGCTAGAAGCCTGGCACAAGTCTCGCTGGGCTGAATCGGGGTGTGGGCAGGGCAGGCTCTTCTGGGAGGCTCGTGGGGGAGGTGGCCAGCTTCCAGAGGCCACCCCGTTTCCTGGCTCGGAGCCTGCCCTCTACCTCCACAGCAGGTCGTCGGGGCCAGGCTCTGGGCTCACGTCGCTCTGAACTGCCCCTTGCCTCCTCTGCCACACTGAAGGATCCTGGGGACTCCTTTGGACCTTTGGGTAACCCAGAATAATCTCCCTATTTTTTTTAACCAATTCTTAAAAATGTTCACTTATTTTCGAGAGAGAGAGAGAGACAGAGGGAGCACTAATGGGGGAGGGGCAGAGAGAGAGGGAGACACAGAATCCGAAGCAGGCTCCAGGCTCTGAGCCGTCAGCACAGAGCCCGACGCGGGGCTCGAACTCACGAACCGTGAGATCCTGACCTGAAGGGAAGTCAGACGCTCAAGCAACTGAGCCACCCAGGCGCCCCTGGAATAATCTCCCTATTTTAAGGCCGGCTGATTAACATCTTCAGTTCTGTCTGTTACCTTAATCCCTTTTGCCCAGTAAGAAATAGCTTCACAGGGTCTGGGGTTGGGACCCAGGAGCGGCACATTCATATCTGTGTCCTCCATGCAGCCTTTTACACATCACTCGGACTGGCCATTCCTACCTCTGAGGTCTGTCTGTCCCTACAGGGTGTGCTGGTGCCACCTTGTACTGGCTTTGGGAGCCCAGCATGAGCTGGTATTAATAAGCCACATAAATGCACAGTTAAATAAATTATGTATTAGGGGCACCTGGGGGCTCAGTCGGTTGAGCATGACCTCCGACTTCGGCTCAGGTTGTGATCTCACAGTTCGTGGGTTCGAGCCCCGCGTCGGGCTCTGTGCTGACAGCTCGGGGTCTGGAGCCCGCTTCGGATGCTGTGTCTCCCTCTCTCTCTGCCCCTCCCCCGCTCGTGCTCTGTCTCATAAATAAACATTTAAAAAAATGAATTATGTATTAAAACACAGATAACGAATGCTCAAAATTCATCACTTTCCTTTATTTTATTATGTGTTACCGTCGCCTGCGTTCTGTGGTTATTTGTGTCTACTGGCCCAGAATGGTGGAAATGCTGGCTCTTTGCCGACCGCACATCTCGTCCCGGCTCTGCGTTCCGTGCTATTGTGGTGATGGCTTGTGATTGTCCACAACTGGTCAGTGAGCGCCGTGGACACGAAGAAACACCGTGCATGACAGTGCGGGCGGCACTGACATTTTTTGCTGATTATTTAGACTTGAGAAACGTGATGGAGAACGTGTTAATGCAGATGAACCGAATGTGCCTTGTCTGTAACGGCTGCATCGTGAAAAGCACAAAAAGTCGTCCAATCGAAATCGAACCAAAACCAATACCAGAGTTAGGCACCGTCATCGAGAGCGTTCTGCGTAAAGCCATTGGCTCTGTGGAATTTGCAACAAAAAGTGCTATTTTGTTATTATTGGCAAACGGCACGCTGTGCTCCCTTTATGCCAATGGAATGGAGAGGAAACGGACGTACGCGGCTGTGGGCTGTGGGCTCACCCTCTTAACCGCTCAGTCTTTCCAGACGCTTCTCTGCTCGTACACATGCTGTTTGCTCAGTGTGGCGTAACCCACCCCACCCCACCCGTCCAACGTCCGGCTGACCCTACTGTTCCCATGGGCACAGCCCGGGAGTCGTCTTGCCCAGGAGACTGCCTTGGCCCTGGGGGGTTCAGTGGCCCTTCTGTGGTCTCATCACCCGCAAGTCCCCTATCTCAGCTCACACCACGCCCCACAGAATCAGACTCACTTCTCCGTTTTTATCCCCGGGCCTGGCTGTGCACAGAGTCTGACAAGCCCTACGTGGCAGGTGCTCAACGAAACCCACCCCAGGACTGTTCCTGACTCGGGGAGGCCTCCCGGTCTCTCCCGGGACAGAAGGAAACAGGAGAGGGAGGACCGAGACTGATGCAGATGTAATTCTGAAGGCAGAGGAGGGGGCTTCTGGGCACATGGTGGGATGGGGGGGTGTCTGGAGGGAGGACCCCAGCCACCCCCTCGAACGCCTGCCACCCCTGACAAATTGTGGATTATGCGGATCCACGGGGACAGGAGCCCAGGACTCTGGGCAGATTAGCCGCCTCCCCAGGGGGGGATCCTGGGAACCGAGATCCTCCCCAGGTGCGCTAGGAAGATAAACAAAGGAAAGTGAGGCAGTTAGTAGGGACGGAGCTCCCAGGGGAGCCCCTGGCACAGTCAGCCCAGATGTGGGGGCCGTCCACACGGCCCCCTTCCTCCACCCGCGTCCGGGCTCAGTGGCGAACGGCGGGAGGCCCTCACAGGAGGCGATGCGGGCCTCACGGACGGCTCGCTGCTTCCCACGGCTAGGACGACGGGGCGGGGGCGCAGGGGAGACCAGACGGGGCCCAGGAGGGACGCCAGTTCAGGTGGTTGTAACGGTGGCCGCGACGGTGGGACCCTGCCTTGCCAGACGCCGGGCCAGGCCCTTCCGCTACGAACAAGGCGGCATCACCCCGTTTTGCGAACGGGAGATGGAGGTTTGCACCTGGTGAACGTCAGGGCCGGGACAGCTTCTTAGACCCGAGCCCCGAGACCACCACAAAACGCCTGCCAGCTGTGGCCTTAAAATACTTGGTGCCAGGGCACCTGGGCGGCTCAGTCGGTTAAACATCCGACCTGGGCTCAGGTCATGACCTTGAAGTTCATGGGTTTGAGCCCCCCCCCCCCC